TGTTAGGTAATAGGGTTCTGCGCCGATTCTGGTCACTCAGTTATTCAACTCCTGATGCCAAATTACTTCAATCAAATGTCAGGAATTTACAATTGATCAACTAGATTCTCTGATATTTCGAACGACCGGGTTTTCATAAAAAATTCTGTGCGATTTATCTTTTGAAAATAATGTTCATATGCTCATTTTTGGAAAGATAATGTAGCAGAAGTTTCAGTTGAGGAGTGATAACTGTGTTCTTCGTTTTTTTTCTCCATTTTCTTCCCTTATTACTTCAACGCTGAGTCTGTGCTCTCGCTGCTTGCACACCTTACAATGGGATCAGTAAATGGGTGGAGCAACGGGAGTGGCCTGACCTCTGAAGCGCGGAGGTGCTAGAACCCCTTCGGGTGCGAATGCTGGTGCGAACTTGGTGCAAGGGAAGGTGCCCTAGGAACTCCTGCACGCCCTCCCTTGCATTTGCATATCTATGATATTCCCGCATCCCGCAGACATCGAATGAGACCAGTAAGGGAGTGGAGCGATGGGCGAAGCTTGAACTCTACGCGAAGGTGCGAGGGTCCTTCTGGAGTGTGAATGCTGCTGCGAATGGAAATGCTAGGGACTCCTGCGTCTCCTTCGATTTCTTCCCTAAAATCAGTAAAAATACGTCATGTTACAGCACTGAATGACCCGGAGGGGACGCAGGAGTACCTAGCACCTTTATTCGCACCAGCATTCACACTTTAGAACGCTCCTCGCACCTTCGCGCAGAGGCCCCGCCTATCGGTCTATTCCTTCACTGGTCTCATTCGGAGTCTGCGGGCTGCGGGAATAGCGTAGACATGCAAAAGCGAAAATTCGTGAAAAATCGTCTTTACAAGGCGAATACCCTTATTAATGTATTTTAGAAGTAAAGACACTCTTGACATCCCCGAAAAGGCCTTACACTACTCAAAGTAAACACTGAGTGATATATCGGTACAAAGAAGGTAATTTTCTTTGCAAAGAGATACCTTAGAGGTTTTCACTCTACATTGGTGAATTGAAGCTTGTCACGTTAACATACAGAGTATTGCTATGAACGTCCCAAAGATTTAATTATATTATCGGCACTTTGATCCTATTCACAACTAAACTCAAAATTATGAACTTTGAAATGCAATCATTGGAAGCTTGTTTCTCTGAGGATAGCCAACGAAAAGTTGATTGGGGTAACTATCTTGAAGACAAATCCCACTTCTTTTCGGACAAGCTATGAATTGGTTCATTTTTGCAAGTTATCGAATTCCCTTTGATATACGCGCGAACTTGTGCATCGATCTAATCAGTATAGTACGTTGGATAGAATCGTTTTGGCATGCAAACAACATCTATAAAATCTCACAAGGGAACGATACTCAATGTCCGTGGCCTTTCGAAACATGATTCATACCATTACACTCGTTTTCGATCGCTGATTCCGAATCTGCCTTCCATTTCTGCTAATCGTTTCTCTGAAAGAAGTTATGGGGGAATTTCGAGCCAAGTTTGGCTGCTCAAGGGAAATATGGCCACTGGAACGGCCTGTACCGCGGCCATTTTCTGGTCTAGTGGTTAGTGCAATAGCCTTATAAGTTGATGCAGGTGTAGATAAACTCTTTTGTGTTTTTACTTTTGCATTACCTCATTTAAGCTTGTTCGAGAAAATGTACTTAAGTTATGATCATTGAATACAATTTAGCGCAAATAGTAATCATTTTTTCCAAAATTCCACTTTTTTGAAGAGTAAGGGCGTTCACTTAGCTCGATGATGCGAAAGAAGGTTAATTGAGGCAATGCAAAACTGAAAAACACAAAAGGATTCGAACCTGCAGCTGCATCAACTCATGGGGCTATCGCACTAACCACTAGACCACAGTGCACTGTTAGCATTGGCGCTCCGACAGTATTTTACTGGGCAACCACAATTCGCGCGATCCATTATAACATTTTTGAAGCGATTAGCAGAAACAGAAGTCAGATTCGGAATCAGTGGTCCAAGACGACTGTAATGGTATACATATCATCTCAAAAGGTCACGGACACCGAGTATCGTTTCCTTGTCAGCGGATTTAGCTTAATTTTTTTCTTCAAAAATAGCCTCTCCGAAAAAGGGATGCTGCATCTCGTAGGCGATACAGAAATATCGATTATATCCGCGTGACCCTTGCGAGGGTTTTGCGAAAATGGAGCGTTCAACGCTTCCGTTTTTGGTTCGCAGAAAGAGAGCTATTGTGGCTCACAATGTTCCTGTCTCGAGGCTTACTAATGACAGCAGGAGACCTTGGCCTGTCGCAAAAAAAGGCAGGTAAGGTATTAGGACCTTTACCTTGGGCCACTTTGCGCTACATTATAGTGTATTGCTCATTTAGGTGGCGATTGGAGTCAGATACCGCCACAAATGTCATCATGTCCTTGGTGACACCGCAAGGTGTTGCCAAAAGACAATGTCGAATAGATACACAAGGTAGTTATGGCACCTAATCATCCTGACATAGTGTCGCGATTTATTGTCTGTAAACATGGGACCTGACATGGTGTGGAAATAGAGCAAGCGAATTTGCCAGCTTGGAAAGTTCAGCATTGAGTAGATCGATTTACCAACTTGTAATAGTGACCTTTGATTGTGTTCTGCACTGATTAAGGTGTGTTTGGATGTATTGATGGGACACAGGAACTCAGGCGGCTATCTATACACAGGGCACGGCAAAGGTGGCCTACCAAGCAAGCTGGATATCGTTTTTGGTAGAAAAAGCAAAGGAAATATCAATTTTGCTCAATTTTGCTTTGATTTAACATACCGCTTATTGCTGTCTTTCGATATGGGGTTCGGTTCCACCGGTACGCTGCCGGCATGCCGGCGGCATGTTTCCCAAACAAACAAAGGGCTTGTTTACAACGAAGTGAAGATAGAATGACACCAAAATTGTGTGTAAATGGGCAATGGGGACCTAGGACTATGTATGAAAAATTATGAAAAAATTATGTGTACTGAAGATGTGCCCAACTTTTTTCGAAGTTAGGTGGCTTTCAAGCCACCGAAGCCACCTGAAGGTCTTGGGAAAGAAAAAGTGTTATATTTTTTCTCCCTCACATAATTTTTTCTATTATACCTTCTTTACATGAATTTCATCTACATCAGACCTGTTGCACCTGTTTAGGCGTCAATGCAATATCGAACTTTTAGAAACTTTCTTCGAAATTGCCTTCCATACCTCTTTTCTACGCTCGTTTGCACTTAGGGAACGGTGACTCTGACCGCGGAGAAGTGTATCCCCATTTTTGGGCACTGAGTCAACAATAGAGTCTGAAGCCTTGCTGTTCAGAGGTATTGCCCTTTTTTCATTGGCGCGATCCTAGAAACACATCCACGTTTCATTCTAATAACTGAACTTATTTGCTTTAGTGTTTTTCATCGTAAAAGGCTGCACTGAAATGTGAGATTGTCGGTCCCATAAAAAGCCATAAGGACGATTGCGAATAACGTCTCACACATACTACAGGCCCTCAAATTTGTAAAGAGGCGGAGTATTGGGGACTTTTACAAGGTTAATGCTATCAAAATTCCGCATTCATACTGCTTAAGTTTTCCCGTCGAAATCTGCAACGGTTTCAGCTGCTTGTTTCTGCGTCTATACGATTCTGAGAGTTGTACGTAACTCCAACAGGTATGACCCACGATATGGTGCGTTAAAACCATTGAAAGCAGAACGATTGATTCAGTGGCTTTACTAGGATTCTTCACGCTTGAACGTGTTAATAACACACCATTGTTTCAAATAGAAAAGTGGTCAGGGGTACTTTTTTAAACAATGATCTAGTGGTTTCACTCTGCGTCTCATATTATGAAGTGCTATTTCCAATACCCTACATGATAACAAAACAATAAATTTAGCTTCTTGGATATTTCGTAGTTTGCATATGAAACAATCATGGAACAAGCATGTCAGTCTGTTGCTTACTCGCTTGTTTCATGATTTTGTACTAGCGATTGAATTGGGAGGTCTGGAGAAGAGGATCATAGTTACCACTATGTAAGCATGAGTGAACAATAACACATTTTATGATGGTTTCGACCAAATTACTACCGCTGCTGTTGAGTTTTAAAGACATAACTCAAGTCATCTATGACTTAAGGCCACGGACAAAGTTTACGCGATTTCATCGTCGCGATTCAATCGCTACAAAGCAACTGTTACAAATCATTGCATGTCGATCAGCTTGAATTTCGGCTGGGATACTTGTCCAACTCGAAATTTTTGAATGTAAAATGAAAATGAATAAAAATCGCGGCGATTAAATCGCGACGATCAAATCGCGTGAACTCTGTCCGAGGCCTAACGCGGAGCTTCAAAGGCAGCGGTTCGGCAGAATAACAACCCTGGGATACACTTGGTTCTTGGTTCCCCTGGATGAGCTAAGTCCACAACTGTGTTTGCAGTTTCAAAACATATCAATAACCCGCTTTTGCTGCTTTTCGAAACGTGAAAAGTGCTGTTTGGGCGGGTAGCGAAAGTGGCTGCTAGAGCGAATAATCCAATTGCTGCCGTAATGGTACGGTGTCTTTACTTACGAGCCAACTCCAGAGGACAGGCATACGTCGTCTGCCCAAAATTGCACTTTTCACCTCTGGAAAAATGGTTATTGGTATCTTTAAAGAGCTAAAGATCCAAGATCACACTCGTTTTGGACTTAGCTCATCCAGGGAAACCGAGGACGATGAATATCCCAACGATGTCTTTCTGCCGAGCCGATGCCTTTAAACTTGGAGTTTCGACGAGAGTACTACCGACCATGGTATTTCAAAAGTTTAAGCTGGGTCAAAATAAGCTGGTCAAATTTATGCCTAATTGCTAAGTTTTGTTTCTAATTTGAAATTGTTGTGAGTAAGATCTTTAGACGCTTGAGTTGTGGCACTCAGAGTGCTTATTTTAGCCTGAGTGCTACAACTCCTGTTATGTGATCGCTGTCACTTGCGTATTACTGAAAACCATTCGAAGCCACTAACGAAAATTTTACTATCAATGATTGAGGTCATCGAGGCCCTTGATTTCTAACGATTTTTAACAGAGTTGTTAGAGAGCGTGCGGCAGGCCCGGAAACATTGAATGGTACTGTGATGACCAAATTGGTTCCCTCCTCCGGGAAAGCCGAAACTCGGTAAAGTAAGAACATCCAATACGAGAGCCAACACAACCTGAAGTTGCTTCGCATCAGTTCTTGATCACATTTTGATGAGATGAGTTACCGCTACAAAAAATTGCCAAGCAAACATTGTTCGTCGAAGCACTCGGTTGTTTGAATTCAGATAATCGGAATTGCACAAAAAGACCACAATGAAGTCAATAGGTGAAACTGCCGAGCTGAACTGTGACAGGGCTATATACGCGGAAACCATCTTAGTCAATAATTCAAACTGTCAGGACTCTCCGATCTTGCTATGTTCTTGCTATAACGCAATTATTTCGGAATGAAATATTTCATTACGTCTTCTCACTTTAGCTTAGAACAAAGCATATTTTGATTTGTTAAAACAATTGCTTCAAAGTTATCTTTTCTATGTTCACAAAGATTGAGCTATCTAATGACAGAATATCTTATGTCCATTAAGCCGAAGTTTTAAAACTAACATAGGTCCTGCATTACTTGCTTAGAATAGTAGAGATGTTAATGTTTTGCGGTTATACCTGCATGAAACGGGTGGAGGAACGAACATCTCAATTAGACAGCCTCTGCGGACTACCGGTCACACGATGCACAGCAGTAAAAGGAAAGGACCAGCAGCCCGCGGAGGCGGTTCCCAATTGAGGTGTTCGTTCCTTTACCCGCATGAAACTTTGCTCGAGCAAATGACCAACATGCTGGTATTCCCGAATCGTCTGCTGGATTTCAGATTGCACTCAAACGTTTGTCTATCCAAATCTGGTGTACTCATTTATACGCACTCTCACTTCTGACAGTAACCCAGACTAGGGATAATCATAGTTTATCGGCAACTATAGGTGTGGCCTGTAAAAGGAGGATAATGAGAGTTGAAAAAAAATTTGTATCTGAATGTGCTGTCCAGAGTGGGCCCACGGCCAGAGGCCGGCACAGAGGTCTGGGATCAAACTGAACTTCGTCTTTGGGATAAAAAGCACAGGCGATGTGCTTTTTGCAGGGGCATCAAACTTTCAGGCACTGATGGGTCTATGTAAAAGCACTGATGACAATAAATCAACTCCTAGCACACAAATCTCCAAGAATGATCTCAATCCTGCTAGCTGTTTCGCGCTCTAAGTTTTTTTGATATGGAGCTCAAGTGCTTGCCCGCTCCCTAATGGCTTCTTCTTCTGTGCCATCAAGCATCTTGATATTCGAGACCCCTCTTTTACGCCCCCTACCTCCTCCCTCAGATCACTTTAAGAATGTGAATGGACCTTAATTAGAAATTATGAGTCAGACGGAAAAGGCTGCTTACAGATTGAAAGAATGCAAGTGATGTTTTAGTGCTCAAAAATCTCCCAAAATGATTCTGCCTAGACCGAATGAGTAGGAAAATTTCACAAAGATCTTGCTGTGCAGTATTGTGGTCGCGAAGAGGTAGACGAGGAAGGATAACCAGGGCCTCGGCACAGATGGCTTGCAGGGCAAGCTGGATGTCGCGGGAGTAAAAGGCAAGGAAGACATCGTTTAAGCGGAAACCCCAGTCCTCCCCCCCCCCTCCCCTCGCTCCCTCACAATCACCCTCTCGCTCTTGTGTCACCTTTCATCTTCTATAAAGAAAGCGGATTGTCATTCCTGCTTATTGATCCCATTTCTGTAAAAAACAAAAAATTCCCGTTTGAACAGGTTTGCCGGCTAAGCGCGAATTCAAAAAGCCTGCCCGAAATGCAAAAGCCTTGTATATAGCTAAGAGAAACTGAATTGATACCAAAATTAGGGCCGCATGCACTAACCTCCCCGCGGGGAGGGGATCGCAGCTTAAAAGAAAGCTTTATATTTCGAAACTCCAGATACCTGGATTTCACGTTGTGTACCTATCCGTAAGTATTCCTACTACCCTTTACTATGAACATGTTGAAGACGAGCGAGAAGCTGTACGAACCGCATTTTCCAGCTTTTGTATGATCCCTGATGATCCCCGGCGCTTTTCATTAAAGTCATTTTTCTTTCTCCGAAGTTAACGAAAACCTTCCAAAGTTGTACTGAACATCTAACACAACAGTGCTAAGCATGTTGCTGATGAGAACAAATGAGTTTCTGAAAAGTCGAATTTTTCGGCAAACCTCAAATTTCGACCTGTGGATCATCGAAAATTTCATGACTTCAAAACATCGTTTGTTCTTATCAGCAACATGCTTAGCACTGTTGTGTTAGATGTTCAGTACAGCTTTGGAAAGTTTTCGTTAACTTCGGAGAAAGAAAAATGAGTTTAAAGAAAAGCGCCGGGGATCATCAGGGATCATACAAAAGCTAGAAAATGCGGTTCGTACAGCTTCTCGCTCCTCTTCAACATGTTCATAGTAAAGGGTAGTAGGAATACTTACGGATAGGTACACAACGTGAAATCCAGGTATCTGGAGTTTCAAAATATAAAGCTTTCTTTTAAGCTGCGATCCCCTCCCCGCGGGGAGGTTAGTGCATGCGGCCCTTAGTGTGTAGATGGGCAATAGGGAATTTATGTGCGAAAAATTACTTGCAAACTTTTTTCGCAGTCAAGTTAGGTGGCTTTCCAGCCACTCGGACAGCCACCTGAAGTGGCTGTAAAAAGAAAAAGTCATGAATTTTTCTTCCTTCACATGATTTTCTCATAAGTTAAACATAACTTTGTTCTACATCAAAATCCTGCAAACGAGTCCATGTCTCCCCGAACTCCCTCCTCCTCGCCTGGTTACAGCCCTCCAAATATTTTGTATGACGGCGGCAAGCCTGCTCCAAGCGCACAATGGTGGGCGCCGGGCACAGCATGTCGCCAATTCGGAGAATACGAAGTTCATCAGTTCTTTTTCTTCTGTCCAGTGCTGTTTTCAATTTTTGATTTATTATTCTTTTATTTTTGTTTGATCCATTCATGATCGCGTCATAGGTAATGTCGTGTCTCTGTAACGAAGTCTCTGGGGACTTCGTTTTTGGAAAATTGAAAAAGCTACCCCATGCCGAGCCCTGAGGGACATCAGTCGTCTGATACCGAAATCTAGTCTGTGACCTGCCTAGATGAATTGTAAACGAGTGAAGAGTACATAAAGTTTATCAGAAAAGACTATGATGATACTTTTGGGTTCCACCCCCATGTATGACACTTTTGGCAGGTAGAGAAACGATAATTTGAAGCTTAGGGAATGTTCGACTGAGAAACATATTTTCTAACTTCCATAGATTTTCCTACGAATTAAAACCAAGCGCTATCCCAAAACGATGCCAAAAACGTGCATGTGCACATGTAAACTTCGTAACTAAGTTTAGAAAAGAGCTGAGAGGCTGCAAAAAACAGGTACAATGGAGTGCCGAAACAAAAAGTTGCAGGCATTTGGAAGCCGTAAACTCGAAAAAAATTCAAATGCGACTTTAGCAGATTTTGATGCGATCCGATAACCAAAAAAACTAGGATCGATCTTGGAATTTTGTAACTCATTGGAAACGCAATGAAGCTGCCCGTTGCGGGAGGAGGGAAGTCAGGAGAATGGGGCCGTAATACAGCAGAACTGCGATCAAACCTCCATAGCATTGCAGAAATCTGGATGCGACCCAAATACGACTCTTCCCCTTCCCCCTTCTTCTCGCCATACATAAAATTATAGCAAAATCCACAGGTTATACAATAAGACTAGTTTTTGCGCGGGAATAGTAGGTTATCTCTAAAGTAAAGCTAAATTACATGAACCGTATAGAAAACATCGCAAAAGAGTTTACGAATTATTAGTCAGTGCTTTTGTCGAGGGTGTGAAAGCAACAAGGCTTCGCAAGCAGGACTTCAAGGCGGTAAATCAGCATTTTTATCGGACATGCATGCCTTCAATAATGTTTAAGCTTCTAAAAGTGCTTTTTGGATTGACAATCGCGGATTGACTGATGGCTTCGACAAGGTGTATATGTTGTGTGTTGAGTCTGTATCGGCTTGTTTAGTCACCCGCTAGTCAATTTTCTTCTAAACACTAATTTTGTTCAAATCTCTCCCTCCTCCCCCCCCTCCCTCCCCCTCCTGCCCCTCTTATAAGCCAGCCCCCCCTCTTCGAGCCTTCTTTAAGACTCTTCTTTGCGACAGTCGCACCACACGCATTTAAAGCTTGTGGGAAGCGAGGCTTTTCGTCTTGAGCGTGATCGGTACGCACTCGAAATTCAGAGCGCGTAACCTTTTATTCAACTGGCTTGGCGGCTGGAAGACGGGGCTTTGTAACCTAATTAAGGACGCTCTTGCCCGCAACGCAGTCTGCGTCTCTCTCGCACGTGTGCTCTCTAATCAATATCTAGACTCAATTAGGTGACAAAGCACTACCTCCCAGCCGCCTGTTAAATCAAAGGGTAGTAAAGCTTTTTGAACGAAGAATTTTCTGTCAGCGCCTGCCTGGCCATACATTTGGTGGTGCTAGCGCTACCCATGTTCAAAAGTTTTTCGGGACCTTCTTTAATTTTTTCGAAGTTTTCTTGAATCAGTGTAGTTTATTGGTACAGCCTATCATGATAATGGGTGAAGATTCCAATGTCATAGAGCAAAATTAGAAGCATTTAAAGCAATGGTGTTGCTTGTTAGTACATATGATCTTGCCAATAGCTAAAATGCATGGTGAGGTGTGTGATCTATTGACTCTCTCCCTCCTCCGCTGTACACGATTACGGTATTCTGCGAGTAACTGATTGTGAATATCACCCTTGCCAAATATCTCTGTCCTTCCATCAAAACTGTCTGACTTTGATTTTATTAGAAACATATGCATTGCTCTTTGGAGTCTGATCGTTCTAGTCCCAGATCCTAGAGTGTAATTTACTTTTTGACCTCCTTACCCTAAGAACGCTGCGCCGCAAAAAAGAGTATTTGTTCCTCTGCTGTTGAGCAATAGGTAGGTTTCAATTACAAGTATTATCAGATCCCAGTTCCTTCTTACTTTTTTTTGGAATCAGCATGTGGATGTTTGACAACTTCTGAGAAGGACTAAATCTCATTACCTAGCTACACGCAAACTTTTTCAGCCAAAAAAGGGTCTTTATGTTCTCTGTGATCGTCCTCGTCATACTTGAGCTTTTCTGGTAGAGATTTTTACCACCGAAATGATAGTTGCATGCTAGGACTAGCCTTTCATTATTTTTGAAAAAAGGACAGCGGTGCAAACTCACAATTCGCGTAATTTTGCTCACTGAGTTGTTATTATGAATATTTTATGTCACCAAGACTTCAATGTTTCCAACTTCTCGCTTGGAATCGATTTTCCGAGAAGTTAGATCTGAACTTATTGACGCGCGCACCTTCAGTGATTCTCGGAACACACAATTTTTTTTAACTACAGCGAATATTCTCCCATTACCAGGATGATCTAGCAAACTGTCTTCTTACCTAAATCATCGTATGTCGGCGCAGCCAGCGCAGCATAAAAAGTTGGTTGAAAAGATTTTAACCTATTTCGCTCAGAGCCCGGCATGAGTTCGTTTTTAGGCTCAATGGAAACGAATCTCCCTTGACTTTTGAAAAATTTTGCGAATCCCCGTTGACTCTTACCCTGATAAAAAGCCCTCAAGAAAGATATCTCTTTTGCTTTTTCGCCTCAAAAACGAAGTCCAGGCTGCTTCCATACAATCTGCGCCGGCCCTGATTTCGCTCCATTCCAGTTCAAAACTACATATTCAACGCTACTGCATGCACTGCAAAATTTCGATCCAAAACTCGGTATTTTCAAAGTTTAAGCTGGTCAAAATGGGCACGTCAATTTTATGCCTAATTGCTAAGCTTTGTTTCTCAATTTGAACATGTTATGAGTCGGTGAGAGTAACATGTATAGACGCTTGATGCTTATTCTAGCACATTCTGAGTGCCACGA